AGGGAATGAAAGATATAGCTTGGTTTTCAATTAAAATATACCGTCTAGTTCAACTACTGTCCTTGAATTGGTTGTCATTTCTGCATAATACTATCGCGCCTGCAAACGTTGTAAATACTTCCGAAGAACTGAAGTAAAAGGCGTAAAATCTGTTAAATGTGTACATTCAATGTTTCAAAAACCTTAAAATGAAACCACTTGAATGATTATAGCAGGGAATAGTACTTGAAAAACTACTTGAAAGTCGACTTGGGAGAGGCTCTTTTTGAGACATATTCCTGAGAAGACCCTCCGAGCCCCTTTTTTACTAGGAATGCCCACTCTGCATCACCGAATAGTTCCTCCTTGAGCTAGCCTTTAAACAAAAATCTTTAAAGATATTCATAAAATTAATTTAAGAATGCTAACCTGTGGAGCGTGCTCAACAGGCAGTCCCAGTTTTTTAAGATCGCTCCCAAATTCCTTGCATCCTTGATAGTCTCCTTGGATTGCGTACGCGGCAAACTGACTCAGTTTATTGGTCAGCCTTTCCGCCTTCGTGTGCTGTCCAGGTCGAATACCTGGTCGCTCTTTGTAAAACACGAACTGTAGTTTGACGGTAAATATTTTACCAAAGTTATCATACTGTTGAGCACCTGAAAAAACAACACTCAAAAATGAGAAGTCCATTCACTAGTTGATACTGAAGTGTTAGGCGTCCTGTCATCGAAAATTAAGTATGAATGGTAAGAAAATAACTTGGAAGAGTTTGACAAAATGACTCTAAGGTTAAAGTTTCAAATATACATTGTGTGTTTCTCGTTCTTAATCGGATTTTAAGATTTTTGGCTCTATAAATTTCCACTACGATGAAACAATAACCCTCCCCCCCTCTTCCCCTTTTCAGTGATTTAGTTGCAGTGGGAATGTTGTGTAGGGAATTAATGACCACCTGCTAAAGAAGATACTGCAATACACCCATGCTTTGGGCTCTCAGATTTTCAGAGCTATGTAAGGAAAAATTGCAACTGATATCAATTTTACAGCACAAAATACCCATAAGAGGAGCCCCTTCATTTTGTAGATAGGCAGCATACACAACACTTCAATGCGATGACATCAATTTAACCATACAATCGCAAACTGTATACCATTAGAGTTGTTGCTCAACAAGCTTACTGTGCATCGACTTGTTTTCTGAACAAATTGCGCAACAGGTCGCTCGACAGTCAACAAGAGGGCAATTTTAAGGGTTTGATTAATTAAGTTCCGGAAGTAGAAATCTCCACCTGTCGCTAAAAGGCCGGTGAAGAGTTCCTATTTCTGTCTCTGTTTACTGTAAAATTATACGCTGGAGTGACTAATTAAATTGCGAACCCTTGACTCTGGCGAGATCTGTATTTACAGAACAAACCTTATTCGCCAAAGCTTTTCTGGCATGGTCATGTTAACATGATGACAGAAGGAAGGTTGCCAAAATAGAGGCATGATTGGGTTACTCCCGGGAGTAGACGAAGGGAATGCCCAGTAAAAGGATGGCGTCAGGGTATTTTACAAGAAATGAGGAAGTGCCAACTCCCAGAACATCTATGGAAGGTCCCTGGTAAAAATTGGCGATAGGAGCTGCGTTTCAAAATACCATAGGAGTTCTTATAGCCGACTAAAGAAGGCTATTGAAAATCATATAGCTGGTTGTAGAAAGCGGGGCCAATCATATAGCCGGGCTATACGAAGCTATAAAAAAGTATACAGTCGGGCTATAGTTCCTATCGCCGGGCTTTACACTTTATCGGCAATGGCTATAAAAGGCTACAAGAAATTTTGTAGAAATTCGTGTGCTTTGGAAATCATTAAGTTTGGTACGGAACTACCTTAATATTTACAAAACAAACATTATATTTTCCTTTACAACATATTTTTTTTCATCAATTAAAATGAGAATTATCCATGCAGAGTGTGCAAACATTTCAAAATCATGAGTTGAAAAACGCTGACTCCGCAAGATTAAATATTAGAGCCTAACACAAAGCGGAGCGGCGACGTACTGGCGCCTACAAACCCAACGGGGATACTTCACGCATTGCGCAATGCGTGAAGTATCCCTGTTAGGTTTGTAGGCGCTAATGCGCGTTTTGCCGGCTACAGAAGCTATTGGAAATCTTACAGCCGGCTTTAGGTCTATGGTATTTTGGAACACAGATTCTACTGCCAATTTTTACCAGGGGTTAGGTGTCGCAAAGCGCCAGCGAACGCTGTAAAAGCGGGTTTTGTGTATAAATCTACGTCAAAGCAATGTCTTTCTACTGGATTTAATTTATGTTTAAACGTCACAAGGTGCAAGAGAATGCAACTTATTGATTTTCTCGGCGCTGAGTCAGAGAAGAAGATAAAAGCGTGCAAGCGGAAGCCGAGACTGAATTTTGAGGCATTGCTCCTGCTCTTGCATAAACTGCATTATATCTCCAGGTTCATCCTGAGTGGAATAAAAGTAGATGTGAAAAACCGCATATTATTTTTCCCTCGAAACTTAATTTAGATCGAACGAGATGTAAAAGTCACACTTTTCGAAGAATGGCACTGAAATGTTCTCAAAAGATCTTAGGATTTGTCTTATTTCAAGTTGAAAAGCTGAAAAAATTGAGATACCCAAGAGGAAAAGGGATCTCCGGCAATTTCGGCTTTATTTTGATCGGTAAGGCTCCAAACTTTTAAGAATTTTGCTTTCGAAAATGTAACGCAAGTGGTGAGACCTAAGATTACAAGTCAGGACTGCCCTAGCTCGCCGAAGAGTAAATTTTTTGTCACTGTGTTTTAGGTCAACACTTTCAACACAATTTACGCGATATTACGTATTGTTACACATTATTGTTACATCTAGAATATTGTCTCAAAAAAGTTTCGTAACTCTCATTAATGAATTGAATAATTGTATGTAACTTTATTTAGGCCACGAAATTTCCAAGAATTGGTAAAATGTGTAACACCGTGTTTCTCATATTTTTAGACTAAAATGGAATAAATCGCGCATTGAAGGGTCTTAAAATCATATTTGTACGTACTAGTTCTCGTCTTGATTTCAATTTACTCTTTTTATTGCACAATGTCTCTGATTAACATTAGGAGGATTTTATTTTTTGTATCTCAATGCCCCAAATTTTCAATTCACGATGTGCTCTGATAATTTTTCATGTTCCGGATACAAGCTGAATTCACAGGCAACTTACCAATCTCTGATACAGAGTAACAAGGCTGCAGTGGCAACTCTTGGAAAGGATCTTTGTCCTCTTGCTTATTCAGTAGCTGCAAAGCAGGAGTCTCTCCTTGGAAAACGAGGCGAACCCAGATTTTCTTCCAAAACCTGAAAGGATACGAGAAACAACCTTCAGTGCTAACCAATACACTGCAAAGAAATTCTCCGACTAAATGAATTGAAGTTCTATATTTACAGTTGAAATATAATGTACAAATCGCATTCAGTGTACTTTGGTGATATTTTTTATAATTTAGACAATTCGTAACAGATGAGATTTTTGATCTTTTTGCTATTCTCGCACATTATTCTGCACTCTTGAATCGAAAATGCCTACGATAGTAAAAAATTAGTGATTTATCTATTTAACCCTGTGTAAAATTTGTCGGGAAGCCATTACAATCTCAACACAGAGATTCTTTTGTATGTAGGTATTGATGTCTGATACTATCAGAGGCCTTACAAAAAGGCTCAAAAATTTGAAACAAACACGGTCGGTAAAATTGCAAATTCCCCTTTTTGAAAAAAAAAACTCGTTGTTTGAACATTATTCAGCGCTCTCAAATTGGAGACCACCAAAATACAAAATCTCTATAATTTAATCCCTGTTCATTGATTTATATTCAAGTATATCTCAGAGGAAATGTCAAAGTCTTGTCTGCATCTTACTTCATTAAAAAGTAATGAAGGAAATAAGGTTTGTGAAACCTGAGTGGCTTTACTTCATGGTCGGTGACCTTTAATTCTCTTGAATTGCAAACAAGTTTCGCCCAACTTTCTTTTTTATTTGAATGAAAGATGCTCCTTCGGCTCCATCAAGTAAAGAGTGAAGATCAAATTTGTATACGCTGTTTCTGGTGGAATAATATTCAAGACTGCAGAAAGGTCGCTTATTGCTATCGCGGAAGTAAATTTTGTTCTTTTTCTGAAAGGTGAAAAATTCAGACTTACCTTTGACCTGTGATCTTTTTCTTATTAGGCTGCCTGAGTTGCATTTCCCAACCAAGGCCGGTGTAATGAATCCTTGGAAAAGGCTCCAGAGGTTGAGAAACGTCTTCGTCAAACAGAGGTGTGGGTGGCGTCTCTTGAGAATCCGTCCTTTCCACTTTGACACCCTCGGAGGCTGTTTTCGACAAAATTCGGAGAACTAATTTAGCAATGTGGAAATTAAATTTTATTTTATCAAACAGACATTCGCGGATTCGGAATGAATGAAACTGTTTTCAGGTCATTGAAGCAATCCTTAATCCTGTCGCCCGCCTTTTCCTCACATAATAAATTACGACACGTTTGACAAACCTCCCCTCCCCCCGCCTGTTTTCAAAAAATGTGACCCAAAAATCATTATTCCTCCAAAAAAAAAAATTTAAAAATTTTAAAGCTTGCTTTGTAACTGCCTGTAGCTCCCTGGCCCAATTGCGAAAAACCGTGACGCAGACTCAGGCCACCTTTTCTCTAAATGCGTTACGCACTTAGATTTAGAAGAAACGGTCGTCATGTATTTTTTCAGGATTTTTTAAAAGCTAAAAACAAATAGGTTGCACACTCTAAGCAGCGCTGCTATGTTGGTGGTTCGATTGTGCAAAATTTAATTCAATATCTGATTTCATCAATTCAAAATTCTACGATTGACAAAAATAATTCAGTAATTTCATCACTTGAGCTCAATAGATTCTATAATATTGCTTGGTTGATCAGATCTTACGTGGTGCGAATATGAGCTCTCCGGGAGTTGTAGCTGGCGCATCGAAAGGATTGAATCGAGGGGCCGTGTCTTGAAAAGCACTGCTACCTTGAGGACTCTTCGGTGGTGGGGCTAACGATGGTAAAATTCCTGCATCAAACTGAGCATCTTGAGCACCCTTTGGCCTACAAAAGTCATGAAAAAGATATTTATTTAAAAGACATAATAATAGTTGAAAACATAATTATAGTCTACCTCATCTTATTTACTCGATTTTTACTATGCCACATGTGTGTCGTAAAGTCGCGAGAAACCGATTTCAGATCGAAGCTCAAATTCGTCAAAAAACAATACAATTCTGGTGAGAATAATCAATTTTCTACACTTTTGACAGTTCGCGAGAAAGTAGACCTCATAGTCTATTACAATTCCAAATTGAGTTATTTATACTAGACCATTTGGGAGTTGTTCTATGAATATTTTAGAACGAAATACATTGCAGATCCAAGACTGTCTAACCAGATCGGAGTTACTGCAGTTTAAAGTACTTCAAGGAACCGACAGTTTGACTGCATTTTGCAATTTGGAGCTATAAAATCTAAATCATCTGACAAAACACTTATGTGCATAGGGAAACTAATGGCAAATACGTCGTTTTTAAACCGGGCTAGAATGTATAGTTCCAAATTGCAAAATGTAGTCCAATTAGTCTCGAGAGAAAACTATAAAATATTCTTGTCTTTCATGTTCAGAGAAAAAAAAATCTCAGATAAAGCTGCACTTTTACACCCTTTTTTGCACAAAAATGATTCTAACTGCTCGAAATTTATTATCTTTGGGACACTACGAGAAATTTATTTATTTATATGCCGAGAACCAGTGTTTTCTTCCCACAAGACGTTAATCCCTATTCAGAAAAGTATGCCTCCGTAGACAAAGATCTATTTTCCCGTCAATGGCAAATTTAGATGTTGGCCTTTTTTTAAGACCCTCATTAAATTTGACCACGATGAGAGGTCATAATTTGCATTGAAAAGAATTTGAAAAGTGTCTAAAACAAATTATTTTCAAAGCCCTCATGTGCCAAAATAGAACGTCAAATGTGCATTTAAATATTGCCAAATCTCAGTAGAAAACAAACTGAATTTTTGAGAGAATAGGTTTGAATACTCTTCATTCAAATTGTTAGATGCTCTAAATTAAATTAAAAATAATAAATTTTAAAAATTAAATTTTCACTACAAATTCATGGAGAGAAATATCGACGGTGTAAGTCGGCAATCACATAACTCGTTTGCGGTGTTTGAAAATCTCCGGCCCTAATTTATTTTTTTAAAGGAGAACAAATTGAAATCATTCCTTCAAGTTTTTGCAGAATTTCCTTCGCCTAGAGAAGAAAAATCACGGCAGTCTTAAGGAATTGCCGTTGAGTAGTTTTCCGTTTAAAAAATAAGGTATGACAGGAAGTATGCGACGTCGCAAACGAGTTATGTGATTGCCGACTTACACCGTCGATATACAATTTTCTCGAAAAATAGTGTTCTATCATCAACTGCCGAAGGTTCATAATCATACGGCGTTTATTCTAAGGACAGGGGAGTCAAAAACCATTCGGGTTAAACGTTGGCTTAGTTAGAGCTGTTTGCTGTAGCAAGGTGGCGAATTTCATGGATTAATGATATTTTTTCAGTGATCAGTGAATTTAAAAGTGCATTTGAAATTCACACTATGCAAGTCTTAGGGTATAGTTTACTTGCTACTTACTTAATAAATACATTGAACCCATCCCCAGCTTCATCTGAGTCTTGTGAGTCTCCTTTCTGAACTCTCGCAGGGGTACTCTGAGGTACAGGCGGCGGTTCTTGAAGAGCTAAAAATGCATCAAATGTGTCGCCTGTTCCAAAGCCGGATTCTGAAAGAGTCATCATGGATGATTAGTATATTATAAGAAAGACGAACATAAGCACTGCTTTATATAATTTTATTTTTTCACCATTAAAAGAGGCTCCAAAAATAGTGTATTGCTTCTTTGTGAAAGCTCAAAATTAATTTAAAATAATTCCCTTACATTCCAAATATTATCTTTTTAAAAGAGGAGGTAGGATATCACGTGGTATAAAATCACGTGCCTTTGCGACCCTTTTAAGACAAAACCAAAATATTGGTGCGGCCATTTTACCTCATGAACATTCGTTCTTCAAGGTAATGCTCATTGTGTGGACTATATTTTGCGATAAGGAACTACTATTGTTGAACCATTGTAGAAACCACATGATATCTTTCAAATTCCTTATGCTGATGGGTGCTTTCATGAATAAGCCAGAAATAGTGATTTCTCATTGCAAAATACGGTCCATATTATTTCAGACTCTTACGACAACTTCACTGGAAAAAAACACATTGTATCTAGAGTCCAGACTCTTGAAAACATTGACAAGAAAAAGGACTCTCGATTCAATCAGATTTAAGCTTAAATCAAAAGGAAATCCACTCAAATTAAGAGGCTTAGTCTTGATTTAAGCTTAAATCTGATTGAAACAAGAGTCCTTTTTCTTGTCAATGTTTTCAAGATTCTGGACTCTAGATCCAATGTGTTTTTTCTTTTTCAGTGTTTATACGGAAGGCGAATATTATCCCCATTTCTTATCACAAATTGACGGATCAAAGTACACTTCCGTGACCCCCCCCCCTTCCCCGGTTTGCTGTGCAAGAGAAAAAGCAGAAACTTTACCTCCATCCGCTGGAGCTGCTGAGTCATCTCCAAATGCGCTCGTTGCCGCAAACGGATCCGCGGCAGGCGCCTTCGTGACGGCGCTATCGAATTTAGCTGCGAAGGCATCGAACTCGTCTTCCTGGGCAGCATCGAACGGACTCCTAGCCGGAGTCACCGTCGTCGCTGGCGCGGCGAACACGTTCGTGCTCGGAGGCGCCGCATAGCTTGGCACGCTCGAAAACGCGTCCCTCGAAGTAGCACTGGTGAAGGCTTCCGCAGGAGGAACACTCGAGAAAGCATCCGTTGGTTGAGCGGAGCCAAAAGCATCCGTGGGTTGAACAGAGCCGAAAGCATCCGCGGGTTGAACCGTGCCGAAAGCATCCGCGGGTTGAACAGCGCTGAAAGCATCAGTCGATTGGGAAGCGCCGAACGCATCCACTTGTTGAGGCGGAAAACCTTGATCCGATTGGATCGTCGGCTCAGCCGGCGCGAAGACGTCGTTTTCCAACTCGGAGTGGGTGCCAGGACTCGGCTGGGTGTGCGCCACCTCCGAGTGTGGAGACGCGAAAGCGGGAGGATCGCCCGGCGTCGGGATGTCCTTGCCCGACGACTGAGAGGGTTTCCGGGACCCTGCCGCCGAAGGGGCCTTGTAGCTGTCGACGGAGGCTCGGGACGACTTCCTCGAGTGGACCTGAGAGTTGAAGATGTCGTTGGAGGCGAAGTCCCGAGAGGTCTTCCTCGACGTCGGTTGGGACGAGCCGATACTCGCCTTCCTCAGCGAGGAGTCTGTGGGAAGCTCGTTGGTGATGGAGACATCTGCCGAAGAGTCCGCGCTACGCAGCACCTCCCCGGAAGTAATGCTCAGCTTATCGACGTCGCCTGTAGCCAGCGTGGTTTCGACTTTAGGTAACTCGACAGGTCTGCTCGGAGGAGGTGGTTTTGGAGGCTTCGGTTTCGGAGGAGCGGAACCTAGTTGAGCTGATTGTTCTATTATGTTAGAGGGTTGAGCGGGGGTTACCTCAGGAACCGGTGGCTCACTCCCTAGTAGATCTGAGTGCATGGAAACTGGAACTGGTTGAGGCTGGGAGAATAGATCCGTCGGCTGGGACATGAGGTCGGTGTCATCGAGGAGGTTTTGAGACTTTGCCTCTGTGAAACCTGGCTGTGAGGTGTCGAAGAAGTTTGGCTGATTGATATCATCGCCAAGCAGGTTTTGTACTTGTGCGTCTGGGGTGGGACTCGGTGAGTGTAGGTCTCGAAGAGGCGTGGGGCTGGGAGTTCTGTTGGCCTGCAATCGGTCAAGTAAATCGGAAGAGGTGGCCTCCATAGCCCCAGTGACGTTGAGGATCAAGTCCTTCGTTTCTTTAGAGGGAGGAGGCCTTGGAGGAGGTGGCCTCTTAGGGGTCCCGAAGGGTGGTGATAGGTCATTGCTTATTTGTAGGTCGACCAAATGCGAGTCCTGCGATGAGAGGAGGTCGTCTTGGCCACCGAAGAAATCAACGTCAGTCACACTTTCGACCACGGTCGTCACGGGAGCTTGAGTGTCCGGGACTTGAACATCACTAAAAATGTTATTGGATGTTACTTCTTGCGAAAAGAAGTTCGCATCACCGGGAGGGTGTTCTTCGTTAACTGTGGTAAAAAAGTTGGCAGCAGCAGCATCACTGGAGCTGGTATCGTCTGTGAATGCGAAAGGGTTTGTGCTCGCATTCGACGGCGTGTAGGACGAGAGGAAAGGGTTCTCGCCCGTAGTGCTTGCGGCTGAAGTGAAGTCAACGTCGGATAAAAATGGATTGAAGCCGGATGTGGTGGTTGGCGCCATGGCTTCATCTGCCGGGGCCAAAAATGGATTAAAGGCAGAGGCCATCTTGAATGAGTTTTAATACAAAGAGTCTATACGAATATAACTAAGATTTAAACAATTCTGATTCGATCAATTTGATCTCAGTCTTTGTGGGGCCTATATCAATATTGGAAGTATCGAATGGGTCGTCAAAATTAGGGCACTCGTCTATGGAGTCAGCTACGATTGGGGTCAAGGGTTTGTGATCAACGTCGGGGTGAGATTCTGATATTACAGCGTTGAAGTCAACGACAGGTTTATTTTGCTCCAATACAGTCTTTATAACCGCTTCTACCTTATCTCTAGGGTCAAAATCTTCATCCGTGTAACTCCTTGTCAATTTCTGAGTTTTCGGGCCTGAGTCCGCTAGTAGCTCGTTCTCCAATAACTTTATCTCCGCTTTTCCGGGCAGAATGTTCTCAGCTATTGACGTATCAAAAGGATCCCGGGCGGTGCTATTATTCTCTTCGACTGCTATTGGTTTCTGCGGAGCCACTGGCGTGTGAAGTTTGATATCAATATGCTCGTCCGCTGTTAGGATATCAGCAGGTGGTTCTGGTTTGATGGGCAAGCTCGTTGGAGGCGCGACTTTGACTTGTGGCGCTGACTCTACTTCTCTAGGGTTGAAATTATTATCAGTAAAAGTTTCGTGTATCTTAAGTTCCTCCTCCAACAACTTTATCTCACATTTGCCAGGCACATTCGCCACGTGAGATGTGTCAAACGGATCGACGATATCAGACTCGAAACTTTTCCTCTCTTCGAGATCTTTCGGGTCCGGGTAGTAAGGAGTGAGCGGTTTATTGACCTTCGACTCTTCCTCCTGATCAACAGCTGTCAATAAATCTAACTTATTTGTCGGCGACTCTACTTTGAATGCTACGATTTTAGGAACTGATGCCCGTTTGGTGGCTGTGAACAGTTGGTCCGGTCTTTTGAGATCCGGTTTCGTGCTCTCCTCCGCTCTCGGATCAAAATCGTCGTCGTCTAATTGTGAGATGGGATCCGATTTCGATTCCAAAAGCTCTTTCTCGATAACTTTCAACTCAGCCTTGCCCGGTGCTGTGAGCTGCTCGACCGCAGAGACGTCAAACGGATCTGTGTAAGTTATCTCTTCGACGCCACTGTTCGCTTTCGGCTCTAGAGGATCGTGGCCGATTTTCGATAGGTCAGTTGTGCTGCCACCGAGTAAGTCGCGGTGCTGGAAGCTCAACGGTCGCGATACTTCTGAATGATCGAGATTCTCAACGTCTTCTATCGATGAGACAGAGTTTGCGTTTATTTTAATTTTAATGTTAGAGAATTGTAAATTATTGCCGTCGAATATGAGCTTCTTGTTGTTGACGACGTCTCGATCGTCTATCTGAGCGTTGAGTATCTCACTCTCGATTAATTTTAGCTCGGCTTTTCCGGGAATTAAATTCGCAACGAATGTAGTGTCGAAAGGATCGTCGCCAAGGACTTCCTCAAAGGAGCTCTTCCGTTCTTTTCTCTCGGCGGCTAACGCAGCGAATTCATCTTCGAGCTCTTCTTCTTCCTCTGGTTGGAGCGGGAACGTTAAGTTATTTTCTACGGGTACGTCACTTACAGGATCTAATTCGTTCAGTAACTCTAAAACGAGATCCTCGGGTTTTACCTTCGGTTCGGTTGGTTTTTCGCCGTCAGCTCCAATCGGTTTTAAAGCCTCTACGATAGGTGTGACTACTTCTACGTCACCATCGAACAAAGGATCGTCGTCTAGTAGAGTCTTCTGAGGAACTGTCTCCTCAACTACCGGTGCAGTATCCTCGGTATCGAAACTCTCTAGTAAGAGATTGACTGGCTTTACAATTCGTCTACGGTGTTTCCTTCTCTCCTCTTCACTGAGGTGTACCGCTGTTTGTGGGTCTGCTTTCCCGGCAAGAACGTCAACAGCGGATCCTAGGTTGAAGACGGCTTTCTTCGCTAGTTCTTTCGGAAGGACTTTATCAACGATGGATGTATCAAACGGGTCTGGCTCTCCTGGTTTTAGTTCTTCGACAGGACTGTCAGGGATATACGCGAGCTTTAGGTCTCCTGCTACTGCGACGTCTACGTAGGCAGTGTCGAAGATATCCTCCGGGTCACTCTCACCCTCAGCGTCGTCCTCAACATCTGATACTTCAACGACACCCTCGGGGAGTTCTAGCTTATCCTTTTCGTGCTCTTCTGCCTCTGCTTCTTGTCGCTTCCTCTCTTCTTCGGCAGCGAGTTCCGCAGGGTCTTTGGTGAGGTCGACGACACCCGCTGGCTTTCTCTGGAAGAAACTGCTCTCTTTGATACGAGTTAAGTCGTCCTGAGTTTTCTTTAGGATTTCATCGACGCCCGATGTGAGTAACGTGAAATTCCTCCACTCGTCGGATCCACTTACAGCTTGATTCGCGGTCTGGCTTGCCTCTCCTTGGTGCTCGCGTCTGTATTTCTCGAGCTCCTCTTTGTCGAATTCCTCCTCGTCTTTCTTACTCTTCTTTCCTTTCTTCTTCTTTTTGTGCAAGCCTTTGTGTATTTTCAGCATATTCTGACTCGGTCTTGATAAGAGGAGATCCTAACAGTCCATCAATGCTGCAACTGAAATCAAAAATAAAATACGCTTTTAGAAATGGATGAACTAAGTTTTTTGTTCACAAATATATTTCAGTAAATCGCACGAAATATTTTAGAAGAAAGACAGGCATGAAAAATGTACATTTTTGAAAATCTCACACTTCACACCGAAAAAAAACTCCGGCCGTGGGAGCCGCAATTACGGGCTATATACAGGGTGATCCAAAAGTCCCTTCCACCCCCTCTAACTTTTTACCTAATTGAGATAAAGATTTGAAACTTGGGGGATATTCCTAGGTCAAAGGGAGCTACTTTTCGGCTCCCCTAAAATTTTAAAGGGGGCCCCCCTTGGGGGGCAACGGCCCCCAACTTTGAATTTTCAAATGGGAAGACCCCCTTTGTGATAGCTCGTTCGAAAGAGCATAAAAAAAGAAAACTTTTCGCGCAAACCCGAAGTCAATATCTCAAACCGTTTCAAAATGGCGGCCGGTTAAAGTTCAAAATGGCCGAAATTTCACACCGGTTATTTGTCGATGGATTTGCGCGAAAATCGGTACGTAGGGGTATTTTGACACAAGAAAAACGAATTTGACGTTAGATTTTCAAAAAAACCGAAATTTCCAAAATGGCCGCCGGTTAAAGTTCAAAATGACCAAAAATTTATTTTTTTATAAATCTAAGTTCAAATTTGTTTATCTTGCCAAAATACTCTCAAATTCCAAGTTTTAGGCAAATTCATCAGGAAAAAACCAAGGTGAAAATTTTCGGCCATTTTAAACTTTAACCGGCGGCCATTTTGGAAATTTTGGTTTTTTTGAAAATCTAACGTCAAATTCGTTTTTCTCGTGTCAAAATACCTCTACATACCGATTTTCGCGCAAATCCATCGACAAATAACCGGTGTGAAATTTCGGCCATTTTGAACTTTAACCGGCCGCCATTTTGAAACGGTTTGAGATATTGACTTCGGAGTTGCGCGAAAAGTTTTCTTTTTTTATGCTCTTTCGAACGAGCTATCACAAAGGGGGTCTTCCCATTTGAAAATTCAAAGTTGGGGGCCGTTGCCCCCCCAAGGGAGGCCCCCCTGAAAATTTTAAGGGGGCCGAAAAGTAGCTCCCTTTGACCTAGGAATATCCCCCAAGTTTCAAATCTTTATCTCAATTAGGTAAAAAGTTAGAGGGGGTGGAAGGGACTTTTGGATCACCCTGTAGACATACCGTCCGTTCCGGGCTCAAAGGCCGAAAATTCCGGCTACTGGAGGCGTAGCTTCGATTGCTCCGGGGTTCAGAGGCCGAAGCTACGCCTCCAGCAGCCGGAATTTTCGGCCTTTGAGCCCGGAACGTACGGTATGTCTATATAGCCCGTAATTGCGGCTCCCACGGCCGGAGTTTTTTTTCAGTGCAGTAAAGCCTCCAAAAAGCAACGAGATAATAATTTGTATTTGATTTATATAATTTAAGCCATTGATGGAGAATCATGGTCGCTTCTTTGAAAACTGCGTAAGCCTTTTTCAATCGGGTTGAGAGTTTTTTGAATAAGCACGTGATCCGATGCTTTTGACGATATAACCGTCCTAGTTGCATAACAGACGAAAGGAAAAAGCACTCGTTTTCCGCTCTCCTTTTTGCTCTATGGTGAACACTTTCGCCGTAATTTTTGAATAATAAATATTTCAACCAGTTCTGCTGCTTTTGTTCCATCTGATCCGGTTCCAACAACATATCTGATGATTTCACTTTGCTTTTTAGCGGCTCTGGTGCTTGCACTAGAGCTGCTATTCCGGACGGTCCCAGCTGGGGAGTATCAATGCAGCATGTTACATTGTAGAGACCGCGCGTTGGTTGATGGGAATCGGCGCCATTTTCGGCTATGTTCCTTGTCATGACTTTATTTTATTGCATACTGTTTTATTGTTAGTCAATGCTATGTTGTGTATTGTATTTTTGGAATCATGGTGATACAGTCAACAATTCAAAACTTGTTTGTGCTTTTATCTCGTGATGGAAAAAATGTACTTTACGTTCAAAATTTGAAAATTTGAATTTTAAAGTTTTCGCGGTTAAGGAAGCTTTAACCACTGGGTTGGAGCTTCCTAGTCATATTACTTGATATCAGCTGATAGCAAACAAAGGTTACCAGGGAAACCGTAAACGTCTAACAACTATCGTGGCCATTGGGGCGATTATTGAAATGATATCGACTGTATGTCGCCGCTTACGACAGGACATAGCCCTATCTTAACTGTGTAATATATCGCAATTCGATATTGTTTTGATTTTTAAAAGGAGCAATTCATTCATACAGTTCCGATTAGTTTTGGCGAACGGGCCCTTAACCTACGGCACTCGGCTCATGGGAATTTTTTAACTTGTCCTGGACGGACTCGTCTGTAGCGCCTCGTTCTTCGTTGTGTGTGTGATTTCGTGAAGAAGTTTCTATGGCAATTTGCTTTTATTTGTGAGCTATTTCTTCCATTCCGGGAACATATTTATTGAAAACGGCGACTTTTTCAACAGTCCTATTTTTATCTACAACATCTAAGTGGCCCTTCATAATCATTTAATTTTGGCCCCTGGCCAGAAAAAGGTTCGGAAATTGCAGTGATTTTGCCGAAAATGCTGAAGTAAGTAAATTTGGGCATTTTTTTTCCTTCTTCAAACTCTGTGGAGAAGCACTTCTCCTCCAGTACATCTATTTTTTTACTTATCTCTCGCAAGGTACATTTACAGAAGGTGTGTTCCAGTATTAACAGTTCAGATTCGTGGTTTTTTTATTATAACGCTTATTTCGGAAAGCAATTATTACATTGTTCAATTCTACTGACTTTCAACACTCGATTATACTCCCGGCAAATTCTGCAGCAGCGTTTCAAATGTTGACTCTAATGCTTCCAACAGCCATCCGATGTCTAAGGGTTTATCCCTAGATTTAGGGATTTTCCGGAATTTCCAGGGATTTAGGGATTTTTCAGGAAATCTAGGGATTTTTTTTTGATGAGGTAAAGTTACCAAAAATCAACTTTTTAACCTCAATTCTAGCTTCGACAATCGAAAACATTTTTTCATCTATATTTTGTAGGCCTTTTTGGCAACACTATTTTCCCCGCAAATAAGCCGGAAATTAAAACGATTGCGTCCTTCGATGTACTTGACATTCAACTGCATTCAACCTGTTAATAATAAGAAATCAACTAATATTCTTTCATTTTATTGGTCTGGATTAGCACTGCTTTCAGAGAGCGCCAAAATTCAAACGAGCCAATCAGATTTAAATATTGCAAATCGCTACATCGAATGACATCATGATTCTTCGTTAAAAATGGCGCTTTTTGCAAAATCTAGGGATTTTTTAAGTATATTTGAGCAAATCTGGGGATTTAGGGATTTTTAGCGAAATCTAGGCATTTTTTTTCTTCCCCGCTAGGGATTTAATATCGGAAGACTGGCTTCCAGTATCGTAGCGTTGATCGTCGCTGATGTCGAAATGGAACCTAATGCCGGACTTACTGTAACACCTCCATTCCTCAATTCCGGTGAGGAATACGTCTCTACCCTTAACTCAATATAAATATACAAATTGATAAGTGAGTGCTTTAGTCTCCTGAAAACAGAATTGCGAAACTTAAAATTGGAGAAAAATGATGAGTAAATGAAAAAATGGAACCAATTGATGGGATATGTCGCATGCCATTCTGACACAAAATATGGCGTCTATCGAATCACCTTAACTAAATAAAATAACCAAATTTTCAACTCTCAAACTATCAACTATCAACTATCAAATTTCAAACTATCAAAATTTCCAACAATGACAAAAATGATTGTAATATACCTATAATGTAATGAAATATACACGCTCTAATCATTTAATTTGTATTACCTTTATGTTATGTACCTACATGTTATACTATTTTTATAATAAATTTTGCCAACATGCTTTTCAATTCAGTCTACAACATTTCATTCCGACGTGGCAATAATGATTTATAATGCCCCTAATCCATTAAAATGAATTACAATAGTAATGCCGCATTATAATGTCGTATTATACATCGCAACGATTCATGTCCTACTGATTATTGATTATTGTAAGATGAATTCTGTTTTCTCTGATTGTATGTTTCATACGTGCGAAGCAAGTACGGGTCACTAGAAACGTGGTTCGTACGGGTGGCTGATGAAATTGATCTTCGAATACCTTTTGATGAGCTAGGGAAATGGAACCATCTGCATCTCATGGACAATAAATAGTTGCCGTAATTAAGGTCATCCCGTGATTAAGGTGCCGTGATTTAAGTCATAAATTCTTCATCTAATTCTTGATTCATCTCCAAAATGTCTGCTAAAGCTTTCATGCGCTTCTCCTTGTATGCATGAATGAGCAAATTGGGTATCGAACAAGCGGACACTTTTTGAAAATTTAGATGATTCTGGACAATATCGTACAGAAGTCCACGAGCTGCAGATAGAACCATTACCTCTAGCTCATCAAAAGTTATTCGAAGATCATTCAACAACCTCTTTGACAAGTTGCAAAAACTTTTCGTTAACAATAGTGTCACACGGTACTAGGAATATTTACTATTTAACGAACCTTATATTTCCCTGACTCAGTCCTAAATTATAGAAGTATGCGTTACTTTTCCAGCAATCCAAAAAAACAATTATACAAAAAACCAATACCTACACTTTCAGATATAAAAATGCAAATTTTTTGCAGCCTCGCTAAACGACTTATCAACCAGAGATTTTTTAGGAAGCGGACCTCCAAAGAGCTTTCAAAATTAAAAGTATACAACAAGTGATAATGCCATGTATTCGCCATACACCGGCTACGTAAATCTGCTAAGTTACAAAACATGAATCGACAGTTGTCGGATTGTACATCAATGACAAAATGTGTCTAGGCCCTCATTCTTGACTACAACTACTGCCCCCAGAGCCGCTCTCCGACGCCAATGCGTTGGAGCTTCCTGCTTGTTTCACATAAAAGTGCTTATCATATAATTATGAATATGCACTAATAAAAATATTTGTGTTCTTGTGTTACTTTTGGTTAAAATATAGGAAGTGAAACAGGGCCGGATTAAGGAGGTGGGCACATGGCGGCAAATCTAGGGGGCGGAAAATTTTGCAATTTTTTTAAATGTAGGTATAAAAAAAGATCGGATTTAGAAAAAAATATTACAAACGAGAGGAGGCTACAAAATCTCTCATTTCCTGAGAGTATACCTAGTAATTTCTAATTTTGTCGTCTTTCAGTGATACAAGAGACAGCACCTTTAGATAGTCGAGTTAAGAGAGAAACCAAACACACAATTTGGCCTGGAACGGCGCGACTTAGGGAGAAGAGATGACGACGACTTGAGATGAAAAAGAGAAGCCCTCGGCGCGGCAGTCGGCATGTAACACATATTAGCGCCTACAAGACTACACGAATACTTCACGCATTGCATCAAACACAGTGCGGTTTTTGTGGTCAGCGTGAAACGGATAGCGCCTACAAGACTGCACGAATACTTCACGCATTGCGCCAAACACAGTGCGGTCAGCGTGAAACGCATAGCGCCTACAAGACTGCGTGAATACTTCACGCATTGCGCCAAACACAATGTGGTCAGCGCGGCGGAGCGGCGGAAGTTAAAAACATTAATCCACATTTATGTTTGTTCTTTCATATTTTTTTCGTTCATTTCATGTAAATAGAAGGCCTTGACCATTAAAGATAGGTTTACGAAACTTGACTTTCGCGCAAAGTTGACCTTTTGCTAGTAGTGTTGACAGGACTTTCCCAAAAAATGTGCTCAACACGAGTAAACGCGTCTTATGCACCCCTCCCCCGCTGGCACGTTCACTTGATGGTTTCTATTGATGTTTCAAAACGAGTGAGAAGGGGGCGGCAAAATACAGGCGGCCCATGGGCGGTAAGTAGGAAAATCCGGCCCTGAAGTGAAACACAAACCAACATAAATTTTTGGTACAGTTTGCAGTGAATTTAGGGGCAGAAAACAATGGAGAGACTGGGAAAATGCATTCCTCCGATTTCGACGCTGGTATTCACCACTCGTTTTTTCTAAAACAATTTCTGCAAGAAAACTGACTGGCATTTTCTCTTGACATTGTCAACCGAGAGTTAGGGTTACTTTGTTTTTCACTTCCCCTACTAGCCAAACTTTTTTGTTGAATTTTTTCTCTGTGTAGTTCAAAAATAGCCTCTCCATTGTCGTCGCTTGGAAATGATAATCTTTAACAGCAATACTTAGGCGATAATTCCAATTTTTGCACCTGGAGAGAATAATTTTACATTTGAATACAAACGCTACAAGTGCCTCCGAAAATTTTCATCGAAACTCAAAAGTTTTTACTCTATTTGAAGAGAGGAAAACATTTCTACAGCAACTTCTAAAATCCATTAGTTTGAAAATAGGATAAAGCCGAAATAGTTCTACTTGACGATCATCAAACATTCTCGCGAGTTATTATACTTGAAAAAAAATGATAGGAAAAAGTACTTCCAAATAATTTAAATGTGTGAATACAAGTCACTCATAGCGGAGAGTAACAATGATGATATGTTTTCAGTAAAAAAAAATAAATAAATAAAGAAAGAAAGGTTATTGAGGATTTGATGTTTGAAGAATAATCCATAATCCAGTTCCATAATCACCACATATCGTCGCTCTTTTGAAGTAAGGGTGTACCTAAACTACCACATGAGCCTTGTTCTCTGTATATTTCCATGCTTTCCGCGGCTCATGTAAAGAGAGACCTCCTCCTCCTCCCTGCCCCCAACTTCAAAGGAGCCACGATTTTACCTAAATGTAAAACGAGTAAGAGGGACTTCTAACAAAGTTAAGTGAGACTCCCACCAAAGTTAAGAGAATATAACCTTGGAAAATATTCACTTCATTATTTCAATAGGTAGACAGTATTAAAGGAAAAAAATTGCAAATTCATCCATCCAGAGGTAAACTAGATCTGCTACCATGTCAAAAAACCATGGAGTTCTATATTTGATAATTATAATCACCTTAAAGTCCATTGACCTTGAACTTTCATCAGAGTGAGGGAGGTCCTGTGAAAAAAATGTGGAAATTGTTCTCACGGATTTCCGTTATCAACCCAATTCAAACCACTGTCAGAACATGCAAATTATTTGGAAAATGGCAACTAAAAATAGAAACTAGAACTGAGAGAGATAATTTTCAAATATCAAATTGAAGATTGTAGGAAAACTGCACACTTCATTTCATTTAACTAAATGGGTTATATTTCACCTTAACTTCGTAAAACACTGAATAAAATTCGATTTATCTCAGTCGTTTAATAATTCACCAAAATTAAGTTAAAAAGGAAAGAAGTATAAACGAGACCTATTCGAATTAGAAAAGTCGGATGCGATTTTTGCTAACTTTAGTGTTTGATAAACATGAGTCTAGAGTAGATTAGCAAAATAATAACGATTTTAACACACAAAATTCACTTCCGTCCAACCCGCACGCAAAATTCCGACGAAAAAATTAAGGTCACCCGTGTCAAGGTCTCAAATTTCCCGCGGAGGGAGAGAGAGAAATCTCGCGGGCTCCGTTTGACATTCGAACTGAACTCCGCTCCGATTATAACGTCAGCGCTCAAGGCGCATGCCGGGGAGGAGATACATATGATACGCGAGTCTGGAATCACCCCCGCGTTCTGCCGCTGTCGAGAACCACGCATCTCCTTCAGGATTACACGAGAGCTTGCGCGATTTCTGCTCGGTAGGGCAGCGTAGTAGGGCGCGTTGCTCAATGGCCTTGAGGGTCGTTCGGACCTGCGCAGAGCCGGCGCCTGATTCCACGCAACACGCTGCGCGGACGAGCGGTCGCCACCGTCCGAACCGAACCTCCCGCGAGAGAAAGTTAGGGGCGAGGGGTGGGATGCGCGTCTTCGCACCAGGACACGACCACTGTGTTATTTGCACGTGTGTTGTGCGTGTGGTTGTCGAAAACTTTTGTAACGAGACTGATGCATATGAGATATTCTGTGAGCTTTGTGGGTATAGCTCATGTGCGAATGGATTTTCAAAGTCGAAAAATGCGTTACTTCAGTGCGACGTTCAAAAATATCTGATTGTGTTCTATTTTTTAAAGCGAGAACTAGATAAAATATCCCCCTGAAATTGTCTGTACATAAAATTTCTCGATCGTCTCGTGAAAATTCATCAGTTTGTTTTCTTTCAAAGATTCAAAACCAGAGAAGAGATTTAGAATGCCGGGATGAAGATACGAGCGCTTTTTCCTCTCTATCCATCGAAATAAGATTAGATCAAATGAAATTTGGTAACTTCTTGTTCAACTGCAGTTGCAAGCGCACTTGATCAAATATTTAACATCAGCCCTTGAAACTGATTTCTTTAATTAAAAAAAATATATATATATACAATATGTAATTTGAATTTTCAAAGAGGATTTTTCCCTTCATTTCAGACTAAAATCAAAAGAATTTTAGAAAGGAATATGAATGTCGGGTATACATGAAAAATTGGTATTGTCAGTCAAATTTGGAACCTCTGAATGAAGTTACGTTCCTTGTCCTTCCCTCGTCCAGGAAATAATGAATTATGACGATGATTATTTTAACAGTAAATGTAAAAATCGGAAGGTCCCGATTCAACTTTAGTCTCACAACACCACTGAAATATTTTCCTGGGCCAGGATACCTTTTAAGTTCATCAAAGTGAACCTAATTTTGTTAAAGATGTGAAGTCTTTTAATATTTGTTTGACCCACGCCTTTTATTCCACCTCAAATAATAAGTGGTTCCACATCTACTTTTGCCTGAAATTCGAAAAAGGAAAGCAAAATTTTCTTGAGGCAAACGATGGCCAATCCCCGTATGCAGTAAAATAAAGTTATGCCTGATGCGGTCCCTCATATTATCGATTAAAAAAGTTTCGGACTTTGAGTATGAATGATTCACCATAGTTTCCTTAAAGAAGTCCCCTTGAGCTATAATCGGAGATGAGATGTGATCGATCGATCCGTTAGATTGCAACAACTCTAAAGTTTGCCCGGTTAGGCAACTATTGCGGCTTAGTGGGTACATTCGTGCCTACCCAGTGGATTGAAGGAGAACCTTCTTTTCATCAAGCATTGATAGGAAACTTTAAAATTTAGTGTGGCACTTTTCTGACGAGCGTGGCACTTCATCGGAATGTCTTTATTGTAGAGTTCATTCCTAAAGTATCGGAAGAATAATTATGGTATCATTATGTTTTATATTTTTCGGTCATCGAACTATTAATTCGGTATAGTACAAGTAAATACTACTATGGTGATGATTTGTCCGTCCTTCGGTCCTCGGTGTCACAATACTTATAATTTTAACGGTCATGATTTTCTCATGCATTTTAACAGTGAGTATATTTATACAAAACAAAACAAGGGCTGAATGCAGGAAAAAATGCGCATCGTAAATGACAGGTACTTCGAAACTTCAACAACTGCACCTTAACTTTGGGCTGTGGCTGAGGTGATGCAATTTAGCCATTTTGAGAAACACTCCATAGAAAACATCCATCCTATACTATGCGATCGATACAACCGGTGAATGAATGAGAGATAAGATCCCTTGACCCTACCTAAAAAAGGTTTCATCGCAACGAAAATCTGAAAGGGTCCAACTTGCGAGAAAAACACAATCGGGTTATCGATAGGCGAAACTCCCAAGTTTGAACCGTGTTTCTCGGAAGACAAACTAGGACATCGACGTGTGGGCAACGAGTGAAGTGCACATGTCACGGAAACTTCAGGCGAGCCTAAACCTACTCTATAGGCACTGGGCCCACGCCTAGCGTTGTAATGAAATGGTGCGTATCGCTACTTACGTTTGCGGAATCATTTGTGCATACAAATACATAATACAAGACAACTCATTCAAGAGGCAGCCACGACACACTTCAACGGGGGCGGGCGGCCGGAAAAACTAAGATGGAGAACGCGGGATTGATTGGGGATGGTATTTTCGCACCCCGCTTTTCCGGAAGCTTATCAGGAAAATCGGCGACCGACACCAGCACTTTGAGGACGCTCGGAACGGGAAAACGCGTGCATTATCGGAGCCGTGCGGCGCGGCGAAACGCGAGACTGGAGTTGGGTTTCGGAGGCGCTCGTCGAGGGTCGTGGGAGGTGGTTTTCCGTATTGATTTCCTCCGCGTGACGTAACACTCGTTGCACCCTCTCGGCCCGCGCCGCGCATTGATTTCCACCCGATCCTTTTGGGTCAAGTTAAACAACCGTCCCCGAGCCCCCAAATCCTCTCCTGATTACTTTTTTGGGGTTATTTTTTCAATTTTTTGGATTCCGTTTTTTGAACCCGTCAAAAAAAACCACGCCCGTCCGTTGAGCGCGTTGGTTTAGTCCGAGAAACGCGACGGTGGACGAAAGTGGGACTCCTGGAGAGAGTCCTCATTTATCATCTCGCTCTGGGTTGAATGAACGGCTGATGCTGGGATTTCATTTCTGCCGTCCGGAGGAAAAACGCCGTACATGCCTTCAGGCGTTGCCAATTTTATTCGCTTAAAATATGAATTTTAGGGGAAACTTGTGCATATAGACGGTGACACTACTGGATCACGTATCTCGGTTTGTGACGTTGTAGATTCCCTGTCATACTTTAATTCTGAAATGGAAAACTACTCGACGCCCATTCTTGAAAAAATCGGGGTTATTTCTTCTCTGCGCGGAGAAAACTCTGTGAAAATTTCAAAAAATGATATTGACTCGTTCTTCTTTAAAAAATAGAAAGGGAGCGGGAATTTTGAAACACCGCAAACGAGATACGTGATCTGTTAGTTTTACATGATATTTTATCTGAAGTACCTGAAAATTTCAAAGGAAAATATGTCTATATTTTCCTAAGACTATGAAGGTTTCGTGGGTAAGGGGAAATTTGGCAACGTCCAAAGGTTCTTAAGACATTCCTCCTTAGCTCCGAAGATATAGCCTGCATTTAGCGAACGGACAACGCCAAGTAAAAGGGCAAGAGCCACGAGGTCATAATCAGTGGCGTGGCGTGATTTGCGATGTATCGACTGATCTGTCAATTGAACCTATGAATGTGGATCGATGAACAGGGTGTTTGCAGCGAACACCTTAAGAACGGATTCTTTACCATAGCTTCAAATGTGGAAATATTAAACATCGATCATTCATGCCTCGCCACTGGGCTTAGTTGCATTGCAGTATTGCAAAAATTCATTTGACAATGCATATATTAGCTCAACTACGACGGTAACAAGTTTTTTTTTTTTTTTTTTTTTTTTTTTTTTTTTTTTTAAGAAATTGTGTGTGCCATTTTTTTATGATTCGACAAAAAATCCTTGAAAATTCCTACGTAAAGGAGGCACCCAGTAGTGAATAAAAAGATAAATTGTCATGAAAATTGAAATGTTACGGTGCAAATAAGCCTCACTGATCTGATCCCTTCCATCAAATGAATCCCCCATCCGCACAAGTGAGACCTCGCATATTGTATCCCACACATTTGAAGGCGCTTTTTATATGGGCAAGAGTGCAGAGACAAAAGTTTTATCCGTGAAAAAAACTCTGAAACGTGTTTGGAGCTCTTCAGTGACACTTACCGTATCTTTTCAATCTTAATGGCGCACTAAAATCCAAGAGCGCTGTTTTCCTTCCATTTCTGTTCAACTGTTCAACTTTTAAGCAATCGGGGTGAAACGAATTTCAAGAAAAAACGAAGGGTTTTATCTGTAGTGCTATCATTGAAAGAGCTACATACTCCTAAAATTGCAGATGCGATTTTATAGTACTTACATTACCTTTGCACGTAATCCATGTTCTTGAACTTGCTGGTGTGAAAACAATAACACTTTAAATCAGCCTTTATGAGATTGTGCATTTGTATATATGTGCACACATTTTACTCTATCTAGCGGCTATTGCAGCCCAAGACACTTTATGACATTCATTAAAATCTTAATCCAAAACATTGCAACGGTTTACCTTCAAAATAATAATAAATAATTTTGAGTGGTATCATTATATATCATAAGTATTTATGTACTAGTCACTCAACCATAGAAATATATCTGCTTCTCTCAATTAGGAAAAGAAATCTCCTTATACTAATAGGTAAAACATGTCTGTCTAATGCATAGGATTCTAGGTCCGAGAATAGACATAAAAAATTTGAAGCGGGCTAAGTATAACAACATCTCTGGTGGCTGTAACAAAGAACATTGAGCTCAGCTGGAAATATTTTGTGACAGCTGAACATATTTATTTTGTCTCGAAGTCTCAAAAGAGGTTGCAATAAAGGAGTCAGTATAACGGATTTCGTAACCTTT